GGCCCCCACGCCGCCCCCCCGCGGCCCACCCGCCATGGCCGTTTCGAAGCGGTTTTCCTTGGCGCCCTCCTCGCAGATCCACTCTTCGCAGCACTTGTTGCGAAACTTCACCCGCCGGGGGTTGGGGCACTCGGGGGACGGCAGCCGCAGGGCGTCGGAGCAGAGGGGGATGCAGCCGATGGCCCCGTCCATGCAGACGCACTGCAGCTTGCAGGTGGGCTGGAAGCTCTCCCCGTTGTGGTAGATCTTGCCCAGAAGGTCACAAGTCGCGCCCTCGTGAGCTGGGGGAAGGAGGAAGAGGAGGAGAGGAAGAAGCTGAGTGGGGTCTGGCAGCACGGCCTCTGCCTCGGGGGGTCACAGAGCTCCCCAGAAGGGACAAGTGTTTTGCTCCCCACTACTCCTAAAAGACTGAAAGGAAAATAACGCTTCAGGTTTACAACCTTTTTGGCTTCTCTGTGATGCATGAATCTCTTCTTCCTTCCAGCCAGAGCTATTTCTATTTGTCTCTATTCTGATTGCTAGATCTCTCATCTCCAGCCCTCCCACGAGCCTTTCACGCCTTCCCAATGAAACTTAAATGAGAAAAAAAAGGAACTGCGACAATATCGGGCACACAGGAGCAACCTTCAGTCTGCGGGTGCGAGCAACTCTCACAAGTTCTTACACCTGTACGAGACAAAATTTTTCCAGGGTAAGTTTTCCAGCAGAAAACTCGTATTCAACTGAGAGTTTTGCCAGCACAGATCGATGTCAGGAATGTTTTCAGACAGAAACAACTGAAGCATTTCAATTTGATATCAATGATTTCCTTCATGCTCTTGCAACAGCTCAACCAAAATACTTGTTGGACAGCATCCACAGGGGGAAGCGCTTTGCTCGGGTAATTGTTTTAGATACTATAAAAATCAAGATGAAACATTTTGATATAATAGAAGTGGAAATTTTTGCACAGCTAACTAGTATTTTACTTAACTCATGGAAAGTTTTGAGATTTATTTATTTCTTTATTTTGTTTTGCTTTCAGCCTGAAATGAAATGTTGAAATCTCAGAGTTGTTCACAGGACAGAAATCCTGCCTTTGGACAGTTCTCATCAGTTGCTGCCTTCTGCAATCCTCACCCTTCAAAAACAAAAAAGTCCATGCAAACCTCAGCTGGGAAGTTACCAAAATGAAGGATTCTTGGCTGCTTGCAGAGACTTACCAGGAAACCTGATCTATTTTCCCCTTAGTCCTGCTCATCCATGGAACCTTGTCTCAGACACAAAATGCTTGGACCAAACAAGGAGCAAGAGTCTCTTTCCAGCCCACCTAGTCCTTGAGGGGACACAAATCCTTCCGGGCTGCTCAGTCTCATTTCTAACCAGAGCTGGATCTCAACTTGCAACTCTTTTCAGTGCCATGGGTATAAAAATACTCCTGTGCTGCTACTTAGAAATTTCATGATCCTCACTTTTTCCATCAAAGTGGAACCCATCTTCTTTCCGTCTACACAACCATTCATACTTATTTTTAAACCCCCTTTCCCTGTTTCTCAGCCTGAGCCCTGTCCCTTCCCCTGAACTGATCGTGCTGTTCCCTCAGCTCCTCCCCTCTCAAGGCACAGCAGCTTGCTCGGGGGGTTTATTATGTTTTCCAACCTCGATCGTTTTGTTGTGCCCTTCATCCTCCTACAGTGACCTCACTTTCCCGTTGACCTGATCCAATTAAAGCACCAGAACGGATTGCGCCGGCGGAATGAGTCGGCTCTTTATTTACCAAGCTCCACTTGGCACCCCTGCCACCTCCCGCCTCCAAATGCCACGTCCAGCTGAGGAGACTTTTGCCCTTTCCCGCGGGGAACACAGCAGAGCTCAAGTGAGCTGCTCCGGTCGCTGCAGCTCTGCCAGCCCCCTGCACCCACCCAGGCTACTCCACCACCCTCTCCTACTCTAGAGTTACTACAGGAGTATCTCTTCTCTTCTGATCCCCCGAGGTCTCTGCAGGCGGGCGTGGATTCCTCTGCAATACATGAAATGCTACAGACTGTGATGACGTGAAACAAACGTGCCGCAATTTTCACTTCGATGGTTCCCTGCCTGTCTTTTCTGATGTGGCGCCCAACCTAGGACCTCTTCCCACGACACCCGAACACCTCTCTGCTGCTTTCTGCTCCCCTCACATCTGTCTTACTGGGGAGCCTGTAAGTCCTCTCTTCTCAATTCACAAACACCCATCTTCCCCTTCATCCAATCAACCCTTCCTCCTCCACCTTCAGGCTCCTTCACCCACCTCCAAACACCCCCATCCTCCACGAGATGGGTGCAGAGATCACAAAAATATCACCTGAGCACTTCACGGCCCAAAGCCTCAGTCTAATTTTAGAGAGACCTGCTGGTCTATGTCCATGTGGGATTTTTGCCACGGAAATCTTAATTTCTCATGGAAGGGCAGGCAGGACAGTTGTGGTCTCTGTGTCTGATTTTCTACACAGCAGGGACATGGGACTCTCTCTCCAAAATCTTTGCATCAAACCCACGGTGAACACAAAGCGCTTTCTTTAGAAAGATGCTCAAGCTTTTGTGTGAAGGCTTCAAAACGGAGCCTCCTCCAGACTTCCGAGCAAATTAGTGATTTAGTTACCTTTACTCTACAAACACAGAACTTATTTCCAGTCTTAATTAAGCAGTTTACTGGATGTTCGTACCCCTACGTTTACCTTATTAAGCTTCACTCATCAGCTCTCAGGTGTATCGATGCCTACAGACAGTACCAGGAAGCTCATGTGGCTTCTAAAGATCACAGTAACCAGATGAGGAAAATTGAACTAATAACTTATTAAAACTGCTCAGCAGAAAAGAGAAAACTCCGTCTACAAGTTAAAGACATCATTTAGAATTTAAAAACTGCATGTGACCCCGGCAGTGTAAAACAGGGCAGTTTCACCCCAAGCTCCTGCCCCTCTGCTCGGGGAGCAGCTGCCAGAGAGTTCCCAGAGACGCCCCGTGCCGTGGCTGAACAATTCCCCAAACGTTCACATCAGCTTCCCGGTGTCTTCCTGACTCCTTTGAAAAGGTTCAGTTAAAAAAATGGTCAGCTCCTGGCAGAGATGGGGCGCAGGAGTCTCGTTTTAAAACCAAGAAAATACTGCTTTTTTTTCCTCCACACTGAAATAATTGTTGCATGCTTTAAAAATAGCTACCAAACAACAAGAAAAATAAAAATATTTTTCTCTTCTGGCTGAAAAGAGGCACCAGGGGAGAAAACAGCCCTGCATTTGTATTTACCTGGCTCAGTAATTCTCATGTTCTACCTATCTATGCTATTTTGCAAACAAGTTGTTCAGCTCTTCCCACCCTCGGTGTGCCTCTCACGTCAGCAGTCGAGCGCAAAACACCCGTCTCCAGAGTCAGGCAGTGAGATTTGGGGGTGAGATTTTCCAAGCAACTGCCCTTTCCAATAAAAGTCCACACTGCTGATATTTACCCAGGGGCTCTACAGGGTTAGAGGACGTCTCCTACCAACGTCATAGGAACAAAGGAGATTCCCAAAGGAGGAGGTTGTGCATCGCTGTCGGTGAACCTGTCCGCTCGTGGGGCCGCTCTCACGCCGCGACGCTGGACAAAGCTCCGAGGCTCCGCAGGAAATCCTGCCGGCGCCGTGGGTTTAGCGGGAGGTCTGCGGGTGGGGTGGGGTTGAAGGGGCCGCGAGGAAACCACACAACGACCGAACACACAGCTCTCACCTAAGCAGATGCCGCTGCCTCTGTGGATTTTGGAGAAGTCGCAGTAGAGGCCCTTGTGATGGTCGCAGGGTTTCTGCAGGGAGCAGAGCTCGCCGAGCTGCCTGGCACACACCTTGCAGCAGCCGCAGGCATCCAGGACGTGGCTGGTGCCGGCAGGGCACTGCAGAGGCTGGGAGGGACACTGGCAGGGGTACGTGCAGCCCTGTGGTTCGACCTGGAGGGCAAACAAGCCATGGAGAGAATGAGTCTCCTGCAAGCTTGCTGAGCAGGGAAACGAAAAACACGATCCTGCTTCAAGCACAGACACAGTCAAGAGGAGGGAAGACCGACTTTGCTCTCCGCATGAGAGCCCTGCGGCAGGGGACGCGCGTGCGACTCCCAAGGACTCATGAGACTGATCTTTTTCTCATCTCTAACTCATCTGGAGCTCAAGGGGACAAAAAAAAAAGATGTCTCCGGGAAGCAGGGCCAAAACAAACAGGACAAGCAGTAGCTTGGAGTCCCACGCGCAGCTCAGCCCCACCACTTCCGTGGAAGCAATAAAATTGTAATTATTAACAGTAAGCAATTCCCAGCTCTTCCATAGCCCTGCTCAGGAGAAAACACCAAAGCACGCTGCAGCAGCATCATTAGACCCTGTCCAAAGGCAGAAAAAGTGAGGTACAGAGCGAAAGGACTTGTGCTGAAAACTGACCCGAAACCTCCCAAGGTCCATTTTGTCCCCCGGATCTCACACTTTCTCCATTATTCCCTCTTTCCTCTCCCCTTTCCAGAGAACACAGAGCAACCGACCTTCCTTGGGAGCTTGTGAATCTACAGCTGCCCCACTTGGTAGCATTTGAGAAGTGCTGGCTGCGTCCTGAAATGCCCCCCCTGGCTTTTAGGCCACTTCAGAGGCTAAGCAGAGAGGAGGCGACATCTGAAGGAGGGTGACCTTCTCCAGAACACCCAGAAGGCTTCAAACACTCCAGCAGCTCAGTCTGTGGCATCCTTGTCCTGAATCAGCCCGTAGAAGAGACACCAGCCTCAGCTCCGGGCAAGAACTTTGAGTGTGAAAGGCACGGAGCAAAACGGTCTCTAAAGATCCTCTCACACCTCCTCAGAATCACCAGTGTGCCAGCTCCAGCCTGGTTTTCTGTTCGGATTCTACCCACTAAAATTCTCCCGGTAGGTCAGAGGGATGCAGCAGCACGACTCCAATTTGCAGAGCTCCAACGCCGCGTGCTGCCGGTCCTCTCCGTCCCCGGGAGCAGCTGCTGCTGCGGGGCTGACACAACCCTCACACTCAGACAAGGCCAACAAAACCCCCTGGGATCCCAGACTGCTGGGAGTGGGGTGAAGAGGGAAGCACCCGACAGAGCAGATTCCTCACAGCTCCGCTGCCAGACCCCACCACTGTTACCCAGAAGCTGGAAAAAGCCCGGGGACTGCACCTCGAGTACTGTGTCCAGTTTTGGTCACCACAGTACAAGAAGGACATCGAG